TTCTTCATCAGTTTCCACCTTAACAAAGAGCACGAGATAAAAGCACTCTCATTAAATAATGCCTTTTAGTTTTGCCTAATGAATGCTGCATAAACACAATGGCATAACTTCAGCTTCTATAAAAAAAAACCAAAACTTTTTATCTTCATCCATCTAGCATTAAACAGAACAGAGGCCCGTCTGGGGCTGGATTCTTCTGGTCACTTTGATGTTGGTTGTGGTCTCTGTTTCTACTTGAAAAGTTTTAACTGCTCTTATTCATGTTCTACCTGCAAAGTTTGGAACTCCCTGGATATTTTAGCACTACCTCCCTCCTTCATCGGTCCACGGCTCAGCTCACCTCGAGCCCCATCCTTCCAGGGAAGAGCCTGGAACAGCAATAACCCCCTCAGCACAGTTCATAGAATCCCATAGACTGGTTTGGGTTAAAGGGACCTTAAGGCTCATCCAGTTCCAATCCTGCCACATCACTCTCACAGTTCACAGCGAGGTGCTCAGAACATCAGGCTATGTCCAATGGGAAGATAACATCACCTACAACACATCTTAGTGCCAGATGATGGGACACCCATGGCACTGGTGCTGCTTGCATCTCCAGAGCCATGGAGCTCATGCACAACAGCATCAGTACAAGAGACAAAACCAACTGGCACAATGGGGAGAGAGCCTCCACAGAGCATCACCTAAAGCACTGCAGCGCTTTTCATCTTCAAAATACACCAAAACCACTGCCTAATTAATTTTTACAACAGCCCTGCATACTCAGATGCCTTAAACATGATCTCCATTTGCAGATCTAAAAAGCCAAGGGTGATGTAATTTGTTCAAGGCCAGGAGGAGCCTGTAGCTGGGGTAGGGATGGGTACTGCGGCACCAGAAACCTGCCCAGCTTAGCTTCTGAGCAGAGAACTTTGAAGACAAAAGAAGCAATTTCACCTCTTTAACTGGAATAAAGATCTAAGGAACTACACCCAGTGCACCACGTGCAACAGAGCTCCGTGAATGGCTGTGCAAAGGTTTGGTAGATACAGATGACAGGATTTTCCTTATGGAAACTTATATCTGCTTATAATGGGAATCAGGACCAATGGGGAAAGGCCCATTTGTGCAGCAGGGTCTTTCCATCTGCATCCAAGCCAATCATAAACCAAGCCAGCACCTGGCAAAACGTTTACACATCTATTTGTAAGTTGGGGATGTTTCTTCCAGGAGCTCAGTATAAACACGCTGCAGCTGGAGGGGTTGTTGTTTAAAGTATGTGAGTTTGAGGACAAAAGGTAAAATAACAAAGCAAAGGAAACGTAACTTTCTTAATAGCATCAATGGAGAACAGCAGGGTGATGTGTGGGTCCAACAAACCCAAGTGGGTGCTGGTGATACAGGCTGGGACCTTTCACACCAGACAGCAGAAGCTGTCCTTTGGCTGTAGGGCAGTCCCAACACTGTCTTCACACCCACAGTGTCTGCAGCTTCCAGGCACCCAACACCTATGGTGGTGATGCTAGTGCCAGAGTTGTGCTGCATCCTCAGCATGCTTCTGCTCCATGTGTGTGAGCAGAGCTCCAGTTTGGAACAGGAAATTCAGAGCTTTAAAGAAACTTGAACATCTGAACTCCATCATTTGCTGATGCTTATCCCAGCAAGTCTCCACTTTGTTTTCTGTACCCAAATCACCGACAGCTCATGCCAAAGCAGTGGGAATTTTTTCCAGTCCTCATCACTGATGGATCTGCAGCATATTGGGAGCTTGGAAGCTGCAGTGGCACATGCAGAATGGCACATCTTCCCTGCCAGTCTGGATGGCCATTTCTGCCGCTTTCTTTTTCAAGCATCTCCTTACAGAAGTATTTCATACAGAAAAGAAAGCTGTGCAGAAGCACTCACGTAAGGAATTCAGTAACCAGGATATTATGGCAACACAGTTCAATGCACTGCACTTGCCATGCATTAATCCGTTGTCTTTCAGAAAGAAAATGTGATTAACTGTATTTCCTCTTCTTAAGTAGGCAGAGACACAGCTTTTCAAGAGGAAAGAGGAAAAACAAAGTCAGCATCAAAATCACAAAGGACCATTTCCATATACTTCAGTAGCATCCCTGCTCATCCTGATGCGCAAAACCTGCTGCCACCAGGACGTGGAACAGAGCGAGAGGGAGATGCCCACATCAGAGCAGGCTCTATTTATTGCAAGCAAATATAGGAAACCAAATTCTTCCCATCACCCTTTCCTGTGCCGAGAGGGGAGAACCTGTGCAGTATTGAGCTAATGAATAAATGGCCAAAGCTGGAGCGTTATTCCCAAGTTTCACTTGGGTGGATGTGGCCCTTTCTGTTGCAGCTGGGAAGCTGCTCCTGCTCCGATGGCTCTCCCCCTTTCTGCAGAGAGCTTGCAAGGAGCCCAGGAATGCTGGAAGGATTTTGCCCAGTGATGCAGAAGCTTCAGGTGAGCAGCTGCTCTTTCACTGCTCCACTTTCTACCAAAGCTCTGCACAGCCCTGTGAGAACCAAAGGCCACCACGTGAATTGCTCAGATCCAAATGCAGATAAACCCAAATGATTCCTTGTTTTCCTTTGGACTTACCACCTGCTTATTAACTGACTGCAGTCCTGCCTCTGGCCCACTCCTTGTTACTGCTTAGATCCATTTTCCTCATGCAAAGCACTGGCTGTGCCTCTTTACTGCAGATGCTCTCCTGACCCTGGGCATGTCACTGTTGCAAAGGAACTGGGTGACCACAGCCCAAGGGCTGCTTATGCTCGAGTCCTTGGCACACTCTTCCTTCTGCATCTAGGAGTACTGCTGCTTTATAAACAGAAATAACACAAGAAATGGCATTTATACTGTAAATCAGAGATGTTCTCGTCACACAAAGGGCACAGTTGTTTTCACCCAGCACAGGGCTCCTCCCGCATCCAAACCAGGGGCTGCAAGTCATCTGAGGCCAGTTCTCTCGATGCTGAGCATCAACAGCAGGTTTCCAGCCTCGTGCCAGCAGCCTGCCTTCCCTCTGCTGAGGGTCTGCATTGAAGAGCTGCTCTTTTCTTTCTTCGAGGGATCATTATTAGAGGCTGTGGCGGGCAGAACCAAATCACAGGCGAGAAGACCGAGTCTCCCATTGTGCGCTGCTTCTATTTGGAGACAGCAGCTCCCGAGCGCCTGGCACTTCAGCAGAGCACAGGCAGGGAGGACAAAGCCACAGTTATGTACTTGTGCCTCTTCTCATTAGGGTGAGTTTTGCTGGGCTATGAGGCAGCGCGCGGCACCATCCGTCATTAGGAGCATCAGAGGTGCCAAGCAGGAACCGCTGCTGCTTCCCTGCTTGCTTCTCCTGCTATGCATCCATCCAGACTGAAACAAAATCAAGCTGTTGTAAAAGCAGGCTGTCCCGAATATTTACATTTCATTAATCAGAAAAGTTGCCACCAACAGCTAACTCAGTCTCAGAAATCAGGTACCTTTGTCTGTAAGTATTACTCCACCATATACAGCAGAGACAATCATAGAATCACAGAATGGTTCAGGTTTGGAAGGGACCTTTAATCTCAATCTCCTCTCTGTCAGGTTAAAGCCATTCCCCCTTGTCCTGTCCTTACAGGCCCTTGTCAGAAGTCTCCCAATAGCTTATAAGAACACAGAACAGGCTTTAAAGAAGAGATATACTCCATATTTACTGGAAACGACGTGCTTGCATCAATAAACCTCTATATAAGCACAGGGGTGATGCATTTGCATCATCTAACGCGAGAGCCCAGATCCTCTGCCAGCAAAGCCCTTCAGCAGTAATTCACAGCACCTAATTTAGCCACCTGCCTCTCTCTGTGAGCTAGGAGGAGATGAAAATAAACCCTGCAAAACCCAACTTCCTTCAGGGTTTACTGCTCGAGGTCTGCAGCTGTGCCCACTGCGAAGGGAGCTCTGCCACCGCCCAAGCCACCAGCTCTTTGCCACCCAAAACTTCCCACTATTCAGAAGCAAGGCACAAGTATCAAATACAGGCCAGTAATAGGAATTTATAAAGAAAAGGGGTTAAACCCCTTCTGAGAACAGCAGCATTTTGCACCTCTACAAACAGTAAGGCGAAATGGAAGCTCATTAGGAGTCAGATTTGCTCATAGCATGCAAGGCTCTGTGCCCTTACCCACCTTCTAGAATAACATTCAAACTGGCTCAAAATAAGATTTCATAAAAGAAATTTCAATCTTGACCTAAGACTTGGCACCCGGAGACTTTCAGCCCAGAATAGACTTTTATGGGAAGTCAGAAACCTCTGGAAAAAAACAAGTTTGCAACAGACTCTTGAACAACAGCAGTGCCAGGGGTACAAGGATAATATATACACTGCGTGCAATGTGTATAGAATACTACAATCACAGCCACATCAGTACAAACAGATATTCATTCTGGCCGTGAGTGATACTTCGTGTTGATAGAAAAAAGAACCAAAATGCCTATTTTAAATCAGCAGAGTTTGGAGGGAGGAAAAAGAACCAAAAGACCTATTTTAAAGCAGTTTGGAGGGGGAAATGTGCCCATTGCTAATGGGGAGATGGCAGAAAGTAGGTATTTTCCATCAGCGCTGCTGTTGCCCCGATCCAGCAGCCATCAAACACTTGCCCACCATCAGCTGTGCTCCCTTCCCAGTGAATTTTGCTGCACGGATTATGACATACAATTTCTTGCTCTGAAAAAGCACCGTGCCTTTGTATTGCAGTGTGCTCTGGGTATACATGTCATTGAAAGAAAATTATGCTTCCTGCTGCCAGCCCAACACAAATATCCCTCCAGACAGAGGCCTCTACCTGTCCTTATTTAGCACTGCTTTTCTCAGAATTGCGCTTTTGGAGCTGCTCAACCTCAGTGAACCGTTTCTGCAGTGGATTCCTCCTCCTCCTCCTCCTTCCTCTCCCTGGCTGCTGGGAAGGCATCAGCCCTGAATATCTGAGCTCCTCATTGACTGATTAGAGTTGGAAGAGACCTTAAAGCTCCTCCAGCTCCAACCCCTGCCACGGGCAGGGACACCTTCCACTAGAGCAGCTTGCTCCAAGTCCCTGTGTCCAACCTGGCCTTGAACACTGCCAGGGATGGGGCAGCCACAGCTTCTCTGGGCACCCTGTGCCAGCGCCTCAGCACCCTCACAGGGAAGAGCTTCTGCCTAAGAGCTCATCTCGGTCTCCCCTCTGGCAGGTTAAAGCCATTCCCCTTGGCCTGTCCCTACAGGCCCTTGTCCAAAGCCCCTCTCCAGGTTTCCTGCAGCCCCTTTAGGCACTGGAGCTGCTCTAAGGTCTCCCCTTAAGGAGCCTTCTCTTCTCCAGGCTGAACCAGCCCAGCTCTCTCAGCCTGACCCCATAGCAGAGATGCTCCAACCCTCGCAGCATCTCCATGGCCCCATCTGGACTCACTTGAGCAGGTCCACATCTTCCTCCAACCCCCGGGATAGTTGGGACACTCTGTGCATCCATACCCAAGAAGTCATCTGGCACCCATATCCAAGGCAGAGCTTTTGCTGTGCAAAGGCAAACCCCCTGCAAAGCAACACAGGGTTCCTGGCCACCTTTATGGCATCTGAGCCCTCCCGATGCCGGTGTTTACACCGAGGCATCCAAATTTGTACCATATTAAACAGGAGCACAAAAGACTACCGCAGGCTTTTCAGATGGATTCACAGAGAAAAGCAGCTCCAGTAATTAACCCCAGATCGCATTACCCTGAGAGCTACATAAACATCATAAAGGTTTAATAAACCACCTCAAGAAAAAACACTCATGTGGTGGTGGTTGTGCACAGCGAGGGATAGAGCTCTACCCCAGAGAGATTATGGGCAGTGAGGAGCCAGGATGCTGCTGTTGCTGTGCTCCCAAAGGAAGCATCCGTGCAGGAGCCTGCAACTCATTTTGCTGCAAAAAGAACTTAGAGGCACAAAGGACTCAGCGAAAACCAGCAAGAAACAAAGTGCAAAGTACAGAACAGTGCCACAAAGATGAAAAAGACCCAAACCTAAATGCCTGTGTAAGGTAGGGAGTGAGGGATGCAGGGCAGGTGACTTGCAGGAATTGCCATCTTCCATACCAAAGGATATTACTTAGGTCACTAAGTTGAAAGTCGTTCTCATTTACTGGCTTCTGCCCCTTTTATGAGCTGTATGTGCTTCTTGGGTCACATTATCCCCTCTGAATTGCTCAGCTCTCTGTTTAAAGCTGCAAAGACAGACTTTCCCAACAGTGCCACTGTGTGCAGCAGGGCAGCACAGTTTGGGTAGCTTCTGTGATCTGCAGCATCCTCCTCGGCTTTTCACCCATCCACGATCCAAGGCGGATAAATGTCCTATTTATCCAAGGTGGATGAATGTGCTATGAGTAAACGGCTGCGAGAGGAGACGCTGGAGGAGAAGGAGATGGAGGAAACTCAGACAAAAGGTAAGAGGTGGCTGAACTCCCAGGGACTGTGTTTGGCTTTAAGCGCCGGCAGCCTGGAATTCCCTTTAACCCCGGGAACAAAGGAATGCAGGATATTGCTCGGCACCATTCAGGCTGGTGAGGAGCAGATGGTCTCTGCTCCCATAAGCGGCTCATGCTCAGGACGACTCATTGTTTCTCACCTCCTCTCCTGTCAAGCCTCATTCTCCTCCCCAGCATCTGCACCCGCTGTTTGCTTTGGCTTTTCTTCAAGCTCCTTCCCCACATATCCCCTCAGGGGCATCCCTTTTTCCAGCTGGTCCCTCTTGTCTTGGAGAACTTCCTGCAGTTCCTTCACCTTCCGTAGCCAAGAGCCTGCTGCCTTCTCTGCCAGCATTTAGTGTGCTTATTCCTGCTATTTTCCATTTCCAGCTTGGTACTGTGAGGCCACAGCACCTTGGGAGCACTGGGAAATGGCTGGCATTCCCCACTCTCTTCTGCTTCTCTATGGGGGGCTGACCACTGCCCCAGCTAAAAAATGATGGGAAGTTTCACACTTGCAAATACCATTGTCCTGCCTGTTGTATCTAAACCCCATCATTACACTCTTTCACAGGACAGACCAAGCTGAAGCCTCTCTACACTTGCCCCACAATACCCTTCCTTCTCCGCAGCTCCCATCCCCATGATGGGAGGCGATGGCTGGAAGCAGCATAATCCAACAAAAATAGGAACTGGAATGGAAGGAAACCGAAATAGCCACTGGCTTCTTCTGCAGAGGTCCTGCAGAGTCCCACCTCCTGCCCCATGCAAGTCGGCCCTGCTTGATTTCTCCATTTGCAAAGCATATTGGTTTTGAGAGATCCTCCTGCCTGAGCCCTGTGACTCCTCTCCATCCCTGCACAGGGCTGTCTTCCAAAATACACAAGAGCATCAGAGCAATAGATACAGCACTTTCCCACCATCTGCCACACTGGGAAAACCAAGATTTGAGCCCCAAGACCTGGTCTTACTGTTCAAGGATGTAGAAGGTGTTTTGGACGCCAGTTTTGCTTCTATTTCACACCATCTATGACTAAAACATATACAAATATAAAACACATTTACAAACCACACATCACCAGCACCTGGATTCTCCAAACAATTCTTAGTGAAGGGATATGAACCAGGGGAAAACACTGAGGTGTAAGACACAAAGAGCCTCTGACAATGGCCTTGCAAGAGCGAAGCTTGGAGAAGCTGCACCCCTCGGGCTCGCTGCTGTTTGTGGGCAGAGCTCTGGGATTAATTTCCAGCCTGTTGATTGTCTCTTCGTGCAAACACTGAAACCCAAGCCTCTAATTGTATTTTTACTGGAGAAACCCACCACGGGACACGCACGGGTCGCCTTCCAAGCGCCGCAATCAAAGCGCACGCTGGAAACGGAGCCGTGTCTAACACAAAGGCATATTTTGGTGCAAACCCCCTGTTTACAAACGCGGAGAGGAGATGTTTTTGCAGCAGTGCCCTGAAACCGCAGCACGTTTGTCCAATTGCTCTGCAGCAGAATAGTCTCTTAGCAATGAGGGAGCAAGCTGGGAAGAGGAAGAAACAAACCATACCACGTATACGATTCCAGTTCTACATAGGGTCAGTGTTAATGGTAAATGTATGACCAGACCCAGATATAGAAAGCAGATCTCTTTGCTCAGCCCTCTGGATTCCTCCTAGGAGTAACTCCTTCCTTTAAGATGCTTCCTCAAGCACTTTGCAGGACTCCTCTATTTCACAGCCATGCATAACATGGTAATTTACTTCCTGTAAAATGACTGCACAGGGATGCACATGGCGTGGCACTACTTATTGACACCAGATGATTAAAGTGATGTTCCTAGAGAATTAACTTCCATGCACTGGGAGACACAAGCTCATACAAGGCATCTCTCTGATTCCTATACATTGCCCTGCATCTATGACTCCATCCTCTATAGAAAAAAATGCCTTAAAACAACCAAGCTTTTGTTCTCACCCAATGAAAAACCAAAGGAACATCCCTCACTCTGTACCTGCATAGAGGGCACACCAGCAGAAGTCTGTTAGAAGCATTAAAAGCCACAGTCTTTACCCACACAAGGCCTCCTTGCTCACTACAGTGCTCCTCGAAGGCTGCTGGTACCGCTGCTCATTTACCTTATAGCTACTGAGTTTGAACGCTGCCATTTGTAAGGAGTTAGTGAAGGGGTTGTCAGCATTTCCATCGTAAACCTTTCATTTGGGGGATTTATCGCTTGGCTGTAAGGATTTGATCTAGCTGCAGCTTGGCAGGAAGGACCACATGCGGCAACGTACTTCCCTCACACCAAACACAAACAGATCCCTAATGGAGGGGTACAGCCTCCTCCAGACTTGAGTCCTTGCAGATAAAAGGGGCAAAATCCTGCCCAACGCCAGCCTAGCATGAGCTGAGCCCATGGGGCCGGCAGGGACACAGAGGAGTGTGAAAATCAGCCACACCACATGTTTCTTAGCACTCTGATTTTGGGTTTTTCATTTTCCCGTGTAAGTTCTTCCAATGTTGCTGTAACAAAATACGTATTTAACATAAAGCACAGCTTTAGGAAGGCCTGCCTTTCCTTAGGGGCTTTTCCCGAGGTGGAGCTCCTATGTATGGAAGTGGGTACTCAACTACTACACCCCAGGTACAGCTGCACTCCTGATCCAGGCAGCACCCCTATCCCTGGGGGATGTCACTGCATCACCTCTTCCCATGGGAAACCTCCGTGATGCCACAGGGGCCGAGGTGACCACCTCAGAAAACAGACTTGGGCAAACTCACTTTATCTCAGCTGCCTGTGGGGGGAAAAGGATATAAAAGGATTAAAAATATCTTTTATTATACAAGGTTACCAGGGGCATTGGTTAAGCCCAGGCACCACTGTGCTATGCAGAACGTGTGATACCCTGGGTGTCACATTAGCACAAAGGCAAGATGCCCCTTTCCAACAGATCCTTGGAATTAAAGCCAATGGGGACAGAATGGAGCCATGATGGGCTACCCATGCCCAGCGCAGGGCCGCCGGTGGAAGCTTGGTGTGCACCCAACATCGGCAGCACCAGCGGTACCCAACCGCATGGCGGGAGAGACGGAGCAATGCTTCCTGCACAGCCCGGGATGCACCATCCCATCACACCCACTTCCAGCCACGGCCCCAGCCCCAGAGCCTCTCCCTGCTTCCCAAGGGCTGCATTTGCACTGGGTGGATGCCACCTTCCCCCAGACGCGGGGCAGGAGGAGAGCAGGCGGCAGCCACTGCACCCGCTGCCTACACGGTGCCTGGAGCGCACTGCACAGCGCGCAGGCAGAGAGGGAGGGAGGCAGAAAGGAAGGCAGGCAGAGCAGACAGGCAGGGGCACAGGAAGGGAGGCAGGGCCGCAGAGAGGCAGCGTAACGGGGAGGAAGGAGGAAAAGAGGCCGGGAAGGAGGCAGGGAAGCGCCGCGAGGCAGCAGCGCCCTCACTCCCGCAGCCAGGTGCACGCATGCATGGATGCGTTTTGTGCTCGGGATGCAATTGCAATTTGAAGTTTGAAGCTTCTCCGTGGCTCCCCCCGTTGCATTTCCTGTTGGGCGCGGGTGCGCACACGCACTCACACACACACACACACACACACACACATCCACCCAGGCACAGTTCCTGCAGGCTGCGTTCGCCGTTCAGCTGCGCTTTGGCGTTAGTGGAATTCTTCAGCCGGGATCACCGAGTGTGTGTGTGTGCGTGTCCCCCACCTCCTGCACCGGTCAGCAAGGAGATAAAAGGGTGTCGAGGAGTAAATCGGGGTTGCGGCCGTGCGTGCGGATTGCGGGCTCGTTTCATTGAGATGAAACTTTGAAACAAGTCCTGGGAGGAGATGAAAGGTGAAACTTGAGTGCGAGTGAGCAAGGAATTAAATATATACCTCTATGTTTCCATGGGAAAGTATTGTTCTTGTGCCAGGACTGAGATCATTTTCCACCGATCCCCCCCCTTCCCCCCCCTTCAATATTTGGTAACTTTTGGTCGGAGGTTTGTAACACCAGATCGCTGAGAGCTGCTTTATTTAGCGTTTGGGGAGGGGACGGCAGTGATTTATTCTTCTTCTTCTTGCATTGATGGCTTTCTTTTGCCAGCGTGGTGGGCAAGCTTTGAGCTTTGCTTGTGAACTGATCCGGCGTGATTCTGCCTTGTGTCCTGCAAGGAAGGGGTGATGGTTGGTGGGAGGGAGGAGGTGGGGAGTTTAATATTGCAAAAATGCAGTGGGAATGCAATAGTCCCTGCAAGAGCCGGCTGGAGATGTTTTTAAGGAGGAGTTGCTCCGGCCATTCATTGTGGAAATAGATGCCCATATGTCAGCAGATGCAGCTTTTGGAGCTTCTTTTAAATGGGTGGATTTGCTGTTGCAGCTTGGCTCTTGCATTCTGCAGCCCTCATGCATATTGGGGAGCAGGGGGGGTGCGAGCCAGTGCATAGCAGAGCAGATCCCAAACTGGGACCGGGGCTGCTTCTTGCTGTTTTGTTTTTAAATCCCAAGCCATCTGTGGAGCCCGTGGCCTTCCTCCACAAGCCTCGCAGGGAGGCCATGGGAAGGAGGTGCTTTCACAGCTCTTGCCACACAGTTTTCCTTTGTAAGAAAAATGTAAAGTTGTTGTATAATTTATTCCTAATTTGGGTTTGCTGCAGTCATCCGTTCCAGCCAAGCAGAGAATTGTTAAAAGTTTCCAATAGAAAGAGCCAGAGAAGTTTGATAATGCAGAGTTGAACTGAGCGATGCCCGCTGCTGCTTGAGGGAGGGTCCCTGCAAGACCCGTAGTAGGGCAGGGGAGCAGCTTCTTCCTAGGGGTCCCCAAAAGCCTCGGGCTGGGATGGCTGCAGCACATGGAGCCAGTGGTGGCAGGGAGCTGAGCTGGTGGCCGTGCAGCCCACCCTGCTGGGGTGCTGCTTATCCCATGCACTCGCTTTGTCCATCCTTCTTCATACCAGGAAAATGGGGAAAATGCAAGTAGCCAACCCACAAAACATGATCTCAATGAATGGCATCATTCTTGAATCCGTTTCCCGTCCATCCCGCGCTGTGCAATACGGGTGTCTAAGTCTGAATTCCTTGCACGGATAACTTTTCCAAGTTCAGCTGTTCAGGCGGAGGTTTCGCTCTGGAAGGGGTTTGCAGCAGAGGTATCGCTCTTCAGGATGAATTAAGGGAGGCATAATCTGCATTTCAGGATCAGCTTTCATGTGTTGCACAGGAGGTTCCTCGTCAGCTTTCTAAAATACTGTGTGGAGCTCTAGCCAGCTGCTGGGCTGCGGAGCCCTCTCCCTGCTTTGAATCCTTTCCAAAGTTGTGCTCAGGATTTGCCAGAGATTAATGCTTTTTTTCCTAATGCTGCTTGTCAGGGGAACATGCAACCAGGATGGTTATTCTCTGATAACACTTGCTCCCTGCAAGGAATCTCACCTAGGTTAGAGGGCAGAACTGCTCCTTGGACCCTACGTGTGCCATGCGGGAAGTGGAGGTGATGTGCTTTGCATGCAACCGTAGTGCGGGCTGCAGGAGATAAAACAGTCCCTGGGGTTCGGAAGCAACAGCTTCATCCTGGCCCTTTCCATAGCAGATGCCTCCAGCATCGTGCTTGCAGGGTGTAGGCATGTTCCCTGCACCCTGATGTCCTGATGCACACGGTAAGACAAAACAGAGATCAAGTCAGAAAGACACCAAGCAGGTCCAAATCCCTGCATTTCACTCATTTCTACCTTTATCCCCTCTCTGAAGCTGCAGAATGGTATTTTTAGTTGGATGGAGCAATCCACAGCAAATAAGATTTCCCCAGCAGGTCCCTGCAGTTTGTTCCATCAAGTCCCTGCTCTGGACAAGTGGGACTTGATGTCGATGGGAGCTCAGAAGAAATTGAATCGTTGCCCAAATAGGGCACTTTTTTGCTGTCATGACTAATAGAATATTATTCTGGAAGAGGAAAAAGAAATGCGGAAGTCCATATTAATTACAAGTTAAACAGAGTCTGAGGCTATAAATCTGAACTCTCATGACAGCAGATGTATTCAAGAGTCTTCCAAATTCATTGTAATGGGGGAGTTATTTACTTGCATCAGCGGAGCAACCTGCATATATGCAGATTTCTCCACTGAAATAAGGGAAGGGAGAAGCATTTCCCATTAGACCACTAATTCATAAACAGTGCATGGAAGTGAGCTACATTTAATTTAATATCGCTGTCCATCGATCTCATTCCTAATATCTTACACTTTGTTGTTTCAAACACAGTTTTTTGTGCTCTAGCTGAGGAAGGGACACTGAGATTATGAGAACCACGTCCCACGTGGTGCTGGCTGAACATGCACCCTATGGACTTTGACCAAAGGCCCTGTGCCTATTCTAAATATTACATTTTATGTGAAATGCTTTTTTTTTTTTCCAGCTAGAAGCCTCAGTGAAATCAGTGTAAAGCCTAAATGGTAGTGGGGGTTATTTTTGTTTAAATCCTTGGTAGGTGGCAAGTCTTTGCTGGTATAAAATTAACCCATGAGCAGCGCGAGGCTCCGTTGGTTGTGCAATGAGCAGTTTGCCTTGTCAGCACCACCTCGGCTTCTCACTATTAACTCACTCCCATGACACAGGCACTTGGCACGGGCCAGGCTCTGCCAGAGCAGGGTTAGCAAAGCTGTGGCATGGCCAGTGAGGTGCAAGCCCAGCAAAGCCTGGTCTAGCAGCAAACAGCCAATTTCAGTCTGAGTTGCATATTTACTTTTAACCTTTTAGGTTTTTCTCGTTGAATTACCTTTTCACCCTGCTTTCCTTTATCACTTCCATGGTGGAAGTGCCTGTGTACCTGCTTCGGATTAAGAGGGGACAAGCGATTATAAAGAGGTTTTAAGATCTCACATAATGCCATGCTGGAGGAATTAACCATGAGTTAATCAACCAAGTGGTTGGGGTAGAAAGTGTTAGAAACGATGTCTTATATAAACCAAATCACTGCTCTGCACAGCAGGGACCAAAACACCCCATCAAGCCCCTCTAGCTGATGCCTTTGCTCCCTCTGCATTGCACTAAGGAGGCATTTGCTTGCAGGTCTCACCCCTTCCACCCCAGACAGTGGGGGTGCAAAAACCAGGGTGCATTTGCAGGGTGCCATGTTCTTGTGTCCTGACATGGACAGGAAGACACAGGCATTGAAAGCTCAAACCATAGAAGTGATTATAGCAATAAAAGCAGTAAGTTGCAGGAGGAAAGGAGCAAAGAGCTGTTTTCTCTTCCCAGCTGAAGAAAAGTGTAGGTTTCTCATTGCCACACCGAGTGTTGCTTATTTGCTACTTTAGACACCCAAAAAAATGGAACTTCCTTTGGGGTGAATTCCCTCCTCTGACACATACACAAGCTGCTAAGGTGAAGCAAATGATACTCAATTAAAACCACAGAAGTAATTTAGAGATGAGACACTTCATTCCTCCAAGAGTATTGGCATTAATGGAACACAATTACCTTCAAAGTCACATGGTGGATTTGCAAATCCTGTGTTCTGTGGTTGCAGGTATACAAGATGACTAAAAAGTTGCCTTTTTTCCCCCAAAATAATACATACATTTGATGTCACTTGTCCATTTTCTCTTGCTGAAAAGAGCCATAACAGCACCTATAGAAGCCTCTTGGAAAAGGATTTAAAAACACATCTGACAAAAGCTCAGATCCCTTTTTTAAGTTGGAAGCAGAAGGAAAAGAGGGGAGCTTTAATAGCACAGGAGTGGGAAGACACTTGCAGCCTTCCCTTGTGACGCACTTGGAGGACTGCAGGGTCTGCCCTGATCTTTGTGCACAGTCATGATTCCCAGCCTTTTCCCATGGGGTCCTTGCTTTCACCCCATGAACTTGCATGTCTAGTGCTTAGCCTGCCCATAGCAGGTCTCCTCCTGCTCCAAAGACAAAGCTCTGCATCTCCCAGGTCACAGCTTCCTAATGGCAGTGAGTGGCACAAGTGGTTCTGAGTAAGGCAAAGAGGTAAAACCTAGAGCACCTGCATGTCCTTGACTGTGGCCACTTAATTCTGGGTGATGATGAGTGCATTGTATGAGTTGGCAGCATGGTCACCAGCAGCATCATTATATAGTGTTGAGTCAGTCTCCAGTGGCCAGGTAAATTGCAGGACTGTTCTGTTCATTTTGGACCTGGACAGAGCTGTAATTAATAAATAATTAAATGCTTCATTACCTGTGAAGTTACTTTGCTCCCTTCCTTGGGGCCTGTCTGGGAAGAGTTGAAGAGATGAGCATTATCAGCTAGAGCAACGTTAGCAGGAAAGCAGATCTAGGACCCTGAAGCGGTGCCACGTTAGATATTATGGTTTGTGGTAGCAAAGCAGTGAAGGCTGTTCAGTGCAATTTCCATATGTACTCATTGTGCAAAAAGTTTGCCTTTGTCTTCAGATCCACTGTATTCTGCATGGTGGCAAGTGTCAATGCAAAAGTGTCTTCTGCTCAGGGGAAAGAAGTTTGGAGAGGGGAAGCCTGAGACTCTCAATTGTAGGGCTTGCTTTTGCCTCAAAGCCAAAATTGAAGCTATCCTTCCTTTTAAGCTAGAAATTCCAAATACCCAGCTAACGTTTTAGAGGGTTCAGCCCACCGTGAAAGTCTCTGGGGTGCTAAAGCACTTCTGAATCATCTTTACATTGGAGATGCTGCAGGCAGATGCTGAACATCCTTTATGGAAGCTCCAAACAGCCACTTGTGCATCTTGGTCTGCTGGTGCTAGCAAAGATGAGGTTGACCATCGCTCTGGATTTGTATGGGCATGGTAAAAGCAGCATCTGTCTACATCAGGAGGGTACTTTGGGGTTGGAACTACTCAGGCTACCGTCCCCTGAAGTTCCTGTAGAAGCAATGGCTGTGGCTTGTTTGTATAGAATTTCAGATTTGTAAGCAAGACTGCAAAGAGAAAGCATGTTCCCCCCCGCCCCCCCCCGTTTGAGCAGGAAAACCTCAGTGAGCAAAGCAAAGCTGATCCAGTTTCTTGCAGTTGCTGTTTTGTTAGCCTACTTAGCTTGGAGTTTTGTAATCGGGGCTAGATTCTCCTATCCTGCACCCAGGCAGATCAAAAACCATTGCAAGAACTGAAGCCCAAACAGCATCCACTTCTCTTGCACTCAGATGAAACCAGTGGAGAAAAAATAAACCCAGCAGAAGTTGCAGATGAGATGCCAAAGATAAGGCAGCAATAGAAACTAAGCACAGGAGTCACCACTTCACTGTGTCCACAGTAAGAGGCCTCTAATGAAGGCTGAATCAGCAGAGGCTTGGGAGCTGCTTTTGATGGAGAATCTTTCTTCTAAACAGAAATATGTAATTGCACTCAGTGAAACAATGCTTATCAGTGCCAAATGGCCTCAGAGCATCGTCTGGCTGCTAGGCTGTGGAAGTCCCAGGCAGCATGCTTTTGTGCTTGTTTTCATTCTGCAGCGGGGTCAGATCCTTATTCGTGTTTTCAGCAAGGCTTATTTGACACTTGAGCAGCAAGTTATAATGTCAAAATTACAGCTTCACTCTGTGTTCTCATTGCTCTTGATGTTTATTGCTGCTCCAGTAATTCAAGGTCAGATATAGAAAATGACTCAAAGAAGTCTTTTGTTGTTCTGACAGCTCTAAAGTAATGGAAGTCCCCATCTGGCAAAGGCAAACCTTTACAGAGCACCAGCATCAAAAAAGGAGAGGGAGCATTCTAAAGGCAAGCCCAGCATCGATTACTTTCTTTCCCTGGACTTGCTCCATTCTATCTGCCCTCATCAGCTCCCAGCATCTCCCATCTCCCACATGCAGGAGCCCCAGTAAGAGCCTGCTGGATTTGCATGCTCATGCAAGTGCCTGCATGCAGGAGGTGAAGTGTTCATGTAACCAGGACACAGGAGAGAAGGTCCTTCTAGCCCCAGCTCTATGGGGAGGGTTTGTGCAGCACCAGCTCCTTCTCCGGGGGCACTTCTCCAGCGCTGGCAACTGGCACCCATTTAGAGGTACGCTTTCCAGCTTGGATTTCAACACAGCCCTTCTTTTCCTAAGGCTGCTTTAATTGCCTGCAATTAGGGTCTCCAGTGCTGCGAAAGCATGGAGAAATAAAACCAAGTTTGGCTTTGTATGACTGGAGTTGATCTCTTGTTTCAAACAGCTGATGCTGTGGCCCTTTAGAAAGGAAGTGGCAGCCTGTGATTGTAGCATTTACGATGCCACTGCCCAGGGATTAAAGCCCAGATATGTGACATTTATTGTAGCTTCATTCAAGGAGTGAAACACCTGTAGCAGCTAAGTACATCTGCCCTTCTTCCAGTGAGATGAAGGGGAAGACAGGGTTTTACATGCTATCATCAAAATGCCAAACCCCCTTTGGGCAAAGCTACGTCTTAAGCAGCTTTGTTTAAGCACTGAGCCTCAGCACTCAGCAAGAAATGCCTCAGGAGGAGTACAAGCCACAGCACAGGGCTTTTAGCAGCCCTGATGGGTCCCTGAGGGTGCAGGGGGTCACCCCAGCCCCTGCACAAGGAGGCCAGGATCTGGCCAGCTGGGACTCTGTGCTGTTAAAAGAGATCCATGCAGGATCATGCCATGCAGGTTTTGGAGCTAGCGACGGGACACGCAATCCGCAACAGTTTTCATCCTAAGGTCAAACACCACTGAAGGTTTGGACATGGAGCCTTAACCTGCAGCCCCCTTTTGCAGGCTGGCTTCTGCAGACAGAAGGATGCAGATGCTTAATGGAGAAGCTCACTCCCAAGCAGACCTCAGTACTTAACTGTCCTAATTAAATGCTTTCAAAAACCACAAGATTGACCTTCACTGCATGCCCACAGATTTTTCTCTCATTTAACAAGCAGAGGGTTGACAGAGTAGCCTATTAAAGGAGAAGAAAGGCAATGCTCTAGATACTGTTGTTTTTCAACCTGTTGCAAAGGGTTTTCTGCTTTTTAACTGTAAGAGATGGGAGCCACAATCCCCTAATAACCAATCAGGAGGAGCCAGGCTGGAGACCAGAAGTGCTTGGCTCAAATGGAGCACAAAGTCTGGTAATGGGGTGAACAGACTTAAAACTGAGGTTTACTCAGATATCTGTGCAGTAAGCCATGACAGCCATTATATATCCATTGTATATACAGGTACTTATGTAACCAGAGAGCCATTCTATGTGTCAGAGTTGTCCTTTGGGAGACACCCTCTAGAAGAAACATAAAGGCCATTTACATAGGCTCCGACGTCCTTATGTTTCCCAAGGACACCAGTGATTTGCTCATTGCCACTAAAACTTGGAGCATCTCGATGGAGAACCTGAATTCCTGCCAAGGAAGCACCAGTTTTACAGATTAACCAAAAGAGCAGATCAGTGCAGTGCGTGAAAGGACATCGGGAAATAGCCCCTGACGGAGCAGCATCTGAACTGGAGGGAGAGCCCAAAATAGTCCCTGGCAGCTGGGGAGGGTGACACAGACACGGCATTCAGAGGTGGTTCATAGTAAGCTGGTGTTTGGAGACAAGAAAGGCTGAATTGGCTGCCAGAGAGAAGGACCTTTGGGTTGCCCATCCCCAGGCTTCTATGGGGTGACAGTAGGGCAACACGCTCCTGCTTGTAGCCACCTAAGCTATTTAGCGCAGCAAGCTCCCACATAGCACGCCTTGGGTTTCATTCATGCCATTAAGGCAGCTTCCTTTAGAGCCAAGCATGCGATTTATTTTTTCCCTTCTTTTTTTCCTTCCCCTCAAAAACATTTGGTACTTCCCCCGCAAGGAATCAGAAGCTTTATGTCTGATAAGAGGCTGGAACAGCTTCCTGCAATAGGAGAGCATTCCTCCTCTCGCTCTTCCTGCGCAGACCTCAGAACAATGCCAGCGCTTCCAGCGTCAACAAGCATTTACTTTACCTTGTGGCACAGGCATTTAGGGCTCATCCTGTGCAAGCATCTCTGTGGCCAGCACCTCCTGCAAAAGGGGGAGGCTCATTTTCCAGGAGCTTGCTTTAAAAAGGCATTGCTGCAGCTGAAACACAAGGAGCAATCTGGGAGATTGAATCAGAGCCGATGCAGAGCAGCTGTAGCCAAGCAGGGCCCTCATTTGGATGAGTGGGGTCTGAGGAATCTTCTTTTTTTCCCCTTCAAAGGGAAGCTAAATAGGGGTTTTATTTTGCTCTGATCTTGAAGCAACTTGTGCACGTGCTAAACTTGGAGCATAGGAGTCCTTTTGCAGGAGTCAGTGGGACTGAATGTGCTTGGGGTTTGAGCACACACACAAGAATTTACAAGGTTGGGGATGTATTTTGTCCTGGTTGCTAAGTAGGGTGGACGTGGTGGATCTGTGTAGATGATCTATAGCACCCTGCTTTTTCTTGAGCTCTTTTGATCCCGTTTCTGCTTATCTGTTCTTGCAACTCGGAAAGCAGCACTGGATTTGTGAGCGTGTGTGTGTGTGTATAACTGACACTACAGTCCTGAACCTCACACAGGGAGTTCTATGGAGGCTTTGACAGAAAGGCTTATAAAGGGGGTTTTGTATGTACAGCTCCTGATTTAGAAGGCTGGGTGGAGAGGTGTAACCTGATGGGGTTTGATCCACGTGGACACGTGCGGATGGAAAACATAGGCGTCCGGTTGTGTAAGGGACACTTTATGGGGTAAAACCTGTTTTCTGCCCCAGCACGGCACCATAATGCGTTTATTCAATGTGTTTTCCAAACTACTATAAAATTGCATGATAAAAACTGAGGAAAGGCTGATTTCCTTCACAGCCTCATTGCTTTATTGCATGGCATACAAGCCACCTGGCAGGTGTCTGGAAGGAGAGCTGTAATTCATGCTCTCTGACCTGTGGCTAAAAGCTCTTTGAACTTGAAAGAGCTTCCCTTGGACCCCCATGAGCTGCCCAGCACCCTGCGTGCAAGGCTTTGAGCCTTCTTTTAGTGCAAAGATAGAACCTGAAGTGGTTGCAGGACCAAGACTTGATGTTCGTGGTCAGATGGACTTGCTGCTGCTGTAGTGGTGATGGAGCAGCTCCAGCTCTTGCTGCTGGGGGTATCTTGGAGCTGCTGCTGTTGTTGCTGACAGTGCAAACGGGAGGGTGGTTGTTCCATTGGAGCCTCCTGCCTTGCTTCAGTGCTGGGGACCTGGCTTTGGTTTCCCTGCAGTTGCCTTTGGCTTCTCGCTGTGGATAGATTCCCTGTGTGTTTTTAAAGTAGGACCTGCACATTTTAGGTGAGGCATTGCCAGCAGAGGGAGCAGGAGTTAGTTCCTCCCATCTACACTGGCCAGAGCTGTCAAATGCCGTTTTTAATAATGCAGGCACAAAAATAAGCTCTTCTATCAAAACAAGGGAGCTGTCTGACGGGGTAGCACAAAGGCAGATTGGGCAAAGTCTTGACTGTGTTGAAAACTCAGTCGCAATATTTGGCTGAACCTTTACCAAAATGCCCCATGACAAGGTGTTAAGCAAGGAAAGAGATCTTCCCCTTCCATGCCAGTGCTGTGGTGTTCTTCTAATGCAGGCAGGGAATTAGAAGGGCAAAGGACGGAGCGTGAGCATCATATCGCTGGGAAGAGATGAGGCGTTGATTTGAAATCCTTCTGAGTGTTATTTGCACCTCTGAAGAGGAAAGTGGTCCTAAAATTAACCTCTGTTGGACACTTTCAGTTGAAACAAGCAGTTGCCAGCTGCCAAAGAACAGCACAACTTGGGGACTGGAGAGCAGCAATTCAGGCTGGAGGTGTCTCATACAACTCTGACACTGTTTATAGCCCTGAGGTGCTGTTTTCCCCATAGGAACACAGTGGATGCCAAACCATGGGGATTGATGTAGCCCTCAGAGTCCCCATCAGGGACCTTCTGCAGAGGGTGAGGATATTTGCTAAAGCAATGGCTTGTGGCACATTCCTCTGTTCCCGTTTGGCTGTAAAAGTTATTGATACTGTATAACTGCAAAATGACCAAATCAATGGGCAGTTTTCTCTCTGCGGAACATAAATTGCTCATTTTGTCCTAAGGTGGCTTTATTCATGAGCAGAAAATTATAAACCCAAGCTTTATGTGCAGTGCATCAGCAGTTGTAGATGGCTGATAACGATGGAGTTTAAATGTCCAACATTTACAATATGCTGAGCAAATCAAATCTGTGCTGGGTAAAATGAGCCTCCTGCGGCTGCCTGGAGCACAGAAACAAGACCTCAGATTGCCCCGTGGTATTGATTAGATTTTATTCTGTCCTGCTGTGAGGGTGATGACACCAAGACAGGCACTGGGTGCGATCCTGCTCAGCGAGCAAAAGTTTTTCTGCAGAGAAGTGGGGCTGCATTAGCACGTGGGGATCAGTGGTTCAGTGCTAAGGACAAGTAACTGTGCATCTCTTCCCGGGGATGCTTTGCTGAGCTCCTCAAGGGAGTCCTTCGTGCCCCATCACACCCTCTGGTCTGGGAAGGTCCTGCTTTTCCTATGTTTAAGCCTCCTGACTCATTGTGAATGAGCCTCAGCACTGGGAAGTGTTCACAAACCACGTGTGTAAGGCCCTAGTGACATGGGTTAGTGGTGGACTTGGCAGTGCTGGGGTAATGGTTGGACTTGATGGTCTTAAAGGTCTTTTCCAACCTTGTTGATTCTATGAATCTATGGAGCTTTGCAAGTGGATGCTATGGGTCAGCATCTTGGGAAGGTGATGATGAGGGGACACCACCAATTACAGAGGGACATCCACCAGTGCCTGTGTGCAGATTGTCCCTTTTGGTGGGTATGGCTGAAGCCTGCAGCTATTGCAAAGGCTAAGACAACAGACTGGGCACAGCCTTGCTGCACAGCTTCCTGCTCAGCCTGCCGCTTGATACAGCCTTAATAGGAACCTGTGCTCACAGTAAGCACGTGCTTAAGTGTGAGTACCATCAAGACATAAGCACCTTCATAGCTGGAGCCACAGGCCGGGATCTGAGCGTGCAGCGCAGCAGCAGTCAGCACGCGGGTGGGAATGTCACCTTCCTTTTCCAAAGCAATTTGCATTTCTCCAGGCTGGCAGCACATCTGACAGCTCCAAGAGGCCCTGGCTCGGGATGCACGGGGCTGGAGCTGCCTCTCGCCCGCTTTGCTGGATGCACGGACCTGTCACCCCTCGGCGTGGGAACAGATGCAGAAGCTGATCTGGTTTATTAGGGGGAGTGAAGCTCTGTGATGCTTCTTTAAAAGCACCTCGCAGGAATCTGCTGGGGGAAAATTCTGACCACGTTAAAGCAAAATAGAAACTGGAGGGAGACCTTGAGCAAAAAAGGCACCCACAGGGTGTCTGATGGAGAGGGGATCTTACTGCCCTAAGAAAGCTGGGTTTTGAGGCTCTGCAGAGCACTGGGGAGGGATGGATGCTCCTTCACTGTGTCATGTTTTCCAGGGAGCAGTGCGTTTAGGAAGTGTAGAAGTGTTTATAGCTAGGCTTGTGGATTTAAGGCAAATCCTGCAGGTAGGGCCCCTGCTTTTATGCTGGATAGAGCAGATTTGCTGCTAACTGCTAGGTATTTGTATGGGAAGTTGCTCAGCGCCCTGTAGCTGCGTGTGGTCACTCACTGGTGTTTTGAGGTGGAATCTTGCTGGATAAGGGGAAGTAAACCAGAGCAAATGGAGTACCTGGAGTGATGCTCAGCAGCATCCCTGCTCACACATCGGTTGCTGGAGCTTCATCCCCTTATCCACAGGGCTGCATCACCTCATGGAAGCACCCACCAGCATGGCACCCTTGGGAGGTGTATAAGGGTGCTGCTGCATGCACTGAGGAGCAGAGCCCACCCTATGCAAGGGGCAAAACCAGGGCAGGGAGCACAAGGCTTGGCTGAAAGGCTGTGATAAGCCTTGCACACCACTATGCATGAACATTTGGGAAGCCCTTCATCCTTCTCCCTGTGAAGGTGTCTGCCCTCCTACCTGTCCATCCCCCTGCACAGGCAGCATCCCACCTCCAGCAGCACTGCAGGTAATTTTTGGCAGGGAGGAATAGAGATAAAGGTAGCAGCAATGGAAGCAGCCGAGTCCTCCAAATCCTCCTGCACAAGAGCCCTTTTGTTCCCTGGGTGAATTCCAAGAGCTTTTCTCCAGTTTTGGTTCCAGCAAACTCCCACTGCAAGCAGACAGCTTGAAAACAAAGCAGCGACTAAATGCAAAGTCCCCCCATGAAAACAATCCCCACGAGGGTTGGATTCAAACAGCAGTTCCTGTGGATTTCCAAATTTGAGATAAGCAGCAATGAAAACAGGCTCTGGGATGGGGAAGCAGCGGAGCCAGCGGACCTTGGCAGAGGGAAATGATGTGCTGGTGACTGGAGTGACTGCCCCTGTGCCCGCCTGCCTGGAGCTCTGCTGCTGTGATTTCTCCTGATAACAGGGGCAAGGGGACAGCCCACGAGGCTCCAAATGTCCTCTGTTGCTCCGTGGGATCTTTGGCACCACCGCAGGGCAACGGGAGGATGCAGCAACCTGAATGCTGAAGGTGCAGGAGCCCGGCGAGGGATGCAGCTTGCTCATCAGCAGAAAGCAAAGTCCTTTTTGGACACTAATAAGATTTCCCTGAGGCATTAGGGCTGCCTTTGGCTTTCACAGCCTCATGTTGGGCAGCGTGAGTGATTGCAGGATTTGAGGCCATTGGAGGCGGTGTGATGGGAGCAGTGGAAGTGGTTTTTCTCTGTGCGTGATGAGAAGAGTTGAGCACTCCCATGAAATTAAGTTGATGGGTGGAAAAATAGTCAAGGTAAAGCAAGGTAAGGAGAGGGAAGAGGCTTTGGTCCCTGTAGGATTTCTGTTAGACTTTTGCAGATGGAGGCATGTGTTGGCAAGCTGTTGAATTCTGCATTTTGTGGTTTTATGCACGTGCTTCCATAGGAGTCTCTGGAGGATCCAGTATGTCCGGAGCATCAAGGCACAGACTTGGTGGCTCCTTGCAGCTAAAGGGTGTCAGGGATGTCTCACAAGCCTGCTCTCCCATCCTTAGCTTGAACCACCTCCATGAGTTCAGGCTAATACCCTCAGGTGCCAAGGGGAGCAGGATGGTTGTTGTGAGCCTGTGTTGCCTTGTGTCCCTGTGCAATGTGGCAGCATTGTGCTGAGCAGAAGGGACATAACACACACAAACAAGGCTTGTGCAACTTCGGAGTTG